TCAGGAAGTTTTTCTTGATGAAACGGTTTCCAGTTCTGCAAATGACAATAATGTGGACAAAATGCTAAAAAATATACTAAATACAACAAACCTACAAAGACAAAGCATACCTAACCTACCATGTCCTTTCACTTTCTAGTATGTATCTTAAACCTCAATTTCCTACATGGCAAAACAAAAAAGGGGATTTTATTCAATACTAACCAACTCTAGCCAGACAGCAACTCACTGTGATGCACACATGGCTTTTAATTACAAAGCTGTTTGTAGGCCCAAACATGAAATAACCAAGGGTGCTTTTTATTTCATAAAGGCAAAAATCTCTTCAAAAACATCTCAGAATAGAAGCAATTCCAAATCCACAGCAGCCAGCAATTAATTCAGCCATACCAAGCTTGTCTGCCTGTGTTGTTACGCTAGAATAGAACCTCACTTCAACTTCCTAACACAGTCTTTAAAAAAAAAAAAAAAAAAAAAAGGCGGGGGGGGACGGGACGGGACAGCCTTAAGGGCGGCAAGGGACAGGGCTTAGTGTTCAGTGTAGACTAAAAGCAATATATTAACTCTGAATTACTGTAAAAAGTGCTAGTCTTTCCTTTAATGCTTTTGTATGACACACAGGATTTTTAAAGTTCCTTCAGCAGATGTATTACCTCTACCAAAGCTAACCTCATCCCAGATTCTGCCTTAACAGATAGAAGTCATCTTCTGCCTTGTTTTTCTTTATGGAAATCTATGTATATTCACCACCATAAAGTTAACAGAGAACCATATACGAGAAAACCCCTGAACAAGTAAAACAAGAGGTTCAAGCAGAGAAACAGCAATTTTTTGAACCAGATAATCCAAGTTAGCAAAACCAAATTCAATCTTTGAAGAAAGTGTAACAGGAGACACAAGGGAGAGTTGCAGCCATCAGTGCAAGACCTACAGTGGAAGGCATTGAGCCTTGGGCCTCAGAGGTGTTCAGTATGAACCAGAACCTCTGGATCCAGATGCACCAGAGATGTTCTCTCTCCCCTTAGAGGCTCCTTCACAAAGGATAGATCAAAGCATTATCCAAATAACCACAAAAACTGATGAAAATGAGCAAAAGCTGCACATTGTAATAACAGCCGAACTCATCAAACCCTCAGGAGTCGTCATGAGTGTCTACCAGGCTATTCCTAAGGCAATTTCAACTCCATCCCCTTAAGCAGTTGTTAACTTCAGAACAAACAAAAACCCAAAAAGCAACCTACATACAAGTAAGATTACACAAGCAGGAATGGCAAGGAATTGCCAAGGAATGGCAAACTCTAAGTTGAACTTGCAGTTAACTGGAAGCAACACGGGTTTATTTTGAAACATCACAAGCAATCATGTTATTTGCCTGTAATAATTTTGTTTGTTTGTGAAAAAAAACCTAGCACAATGGTGCAGTGAAAGCAGCTTTAGAAGCACCTTCATTCAGGAATTCCAGTTGCATCCTAGAAAAGCAAGTCACAAATACAATAACCTAATGGGCAGCATAACACTTGATTTTGCAGTGATCCGCTGAGGGATATCAATACAAAAAGAAACACTTAAGGCTTAGTAACAGCATTTTTAAATTATGTGTTTCCAAGGAAGTGTATGCAAGTATATGCACAAAAGGAGTCTACGTGGCGCATCATAAAAGTGAAGAAAAAAGAAAAACAAGAGTTATCAGCAGGTAAGAAGTTAACAGATAACATAACAGTAAGTTACAGTATACTTACACAATGGTCTGCACAGAAAAATTAATAATTCAACTGAAACTGAGACAGAGCTAACTTTGAAAGTCAGAAGTTAACATACAGCGCATGATCAAATTTAATGTTAGAACTAGCATTTAAGACTTGAAAATAAAATAGAAATCTATGCCTAAATGCAACAACTGCTAACTTCAGAGTGGAACAAATGGATAAGAATCATGTCTTTGGGTCTGGTGAACAGTTGTTTAGCATAGTAACTTGGATGTGTAAGGAAGCAGAAATGCAATAAACAGAAATAATGCAACTAAGGCAAGCAAGGAAAGTGTTCTAGCTTGGGTAACTAAAACAGCTGTTGATAACAGTCTTGGCTAGTTTTGTCTTCTATAGATAGCACAGAAGAGAAAGTAAACCACTTCAGCCATATGAGTATTATTAATTATACATTGCTTAGTTGTGCTTTTGCTGGTTTTGGTTTCATTAAATGCACACATACAAAAAGGGAAAGATGTAATTCTTTACAGATTAATTGCCATAGCTGAACCTTTAAGTTAAAAAGCAAGAGGAAAATATGAGCAAATAAAGGTAATAGAGAAAAATGGATCTGACAAAAGTTGGCTTTATTTCCAAGAGAAACAAGTTTATTTTATGGGGGACAATTAACAGCAACAACTGAAAAAAGTAAGCGTCTCCATTTCCACCATTTTGATGATTATTAGAAATTTTTACAATGAATCAGCAATATGGTTTGTGTCTTAAGATGCAGAGAATAATGCTGCATTATAAAGATAAGTTTTCTTTTTCAGAGACGTACTACTACCAGTGGACTAAAAATTATACAACCAGAATACTCTGACTCCACATGGATGAAAAATTAATGCAACCAAGAACAGATAAAGGTGAAATACTAAATCTTGGAACTTCTCAAACCAATCTTGAACTAAACTGTGATGATTAGATGTGAAAGGAAGCAATAGAAACACTTAGCTTTTCTAAAGTAGAGGTGTTAAAACTGGAAAATATTACTGGCAGTAATATAAATTGCACCCAAATGCAAGTGGTAGCAATAAGGACTACTAATAGAATATTAAACACTATAAGTAGTGGTTTATTGCCACAAAAATATAAATAATCTGAACAGCCATGGGCGCGGCAGGGAGAAGGTGGGGCAGAGAGAACACCAAAAACCGAGTGTCTAGATTGGTGTAAATTCCAGGCATAGAACAGAATACAACCGTGTATTAGGAGAAATAAAAACCAGGATCTTTTACATCAAAAAATAAAGATGACTGCCAAATAATAGATGCACAATCCCCACGAGCATTACCGAAAATAATCCATCAGTCGCTTTGGATACCTAAAGTGAGAGCTTGATGTATCACTAATGGTGTATTAATAGAGCTAAAAATGTGTTATGAAAAATGGAGTTATAGCAAATTTATCTGTCCTACATGAATACAGCCTGAAGAATGCTGTACTTGAATGCAGCAACAACTACTTGCATGCAAGTACTAATTAGCAGTTAATGTTTCTCTCACCTATGATACTGGAAACAGCTGCATGCATGTTCTTTCCCTGTATTCAGGCTGGTGGGATGACATCAGAAGACTGAACCCCATGTGGAAAAAACAGTAATGTCCTTCTTGTATATATCCAGAATGAAACATATATAGCATCCAGCCATATCATGCATTAGCTAATCAGAATTATATAATGTGGAAGAATGCTACACTGGGGTTAATATGGCTGGAACAAATTTATTGATGAATCACGATAAATAGAACAAGAAGCTGAAGTACAAGGAAACACCAAGTCAGAAAACTCCATATTATGTTAGAAAACCAAAGCTATTATGATTAAGTGATGCAGAAACCCTATTCACCACCTGTGTATTGTTCTTAAAGGATACTCACAGCTGTATTACAATTAGATTTTTAACACCCAAGAGGGTTTTTTTTTTATCATTAACAATGCAATTTGAAATAACACTTATAAATACATCAACACATTGCACACAGGTTTTCACATCTTAGCACTATCAACAATACTGAAGATACCACACCAATTGAAAAAGCATTCTGAGGCCCAGATGACCAATATATTGGAAAGAATAGATATCCATATTAATGTAGTACATTCCAATATGGGTATTGTCCAAACCCAGAGAGAAACGTAAGGACTTGTCACAAAGATATAAATATTGATGTGAATGAAGAAAGAAAGTGTGTATAAACTTGTGTTTAAGCACCAGAACAGAGGACTCATTAGCAGAAGGTCCTGTGCTCTGACAATGGGAGGATAAGGTTGCTGCATTTCATAGGCACACCCCCTTTTTCTGTTAGCCCAACAGGACAGCGGACTACAGCAAAGCACCACCCCAGGTCTTGATAGCTAGTATGCACAGGCCACGGTGTTACAGCAAGCTAAACCACTTGGGGGGCGGAGGGAAGAGCTGGTGCTTGTGAGTGCAACAGTGAAAGTGGGTAAACATCAACTTAGACATTTTGTAAATAATTACCACCTTCCCCTTCCATGTAGTCTTTGTTATGCTAACTTCCTACATAAGCAAATCCCTTTATCTAGATAGTTTGGGTTAAGTCTAGCAGCAGTACAGTACTTCTGCCTATAATTTCTCAGTTTTTCCTCTTATCTGAAAAGAAATACATATAGTGATTAATTAAAGAGCAGTAATACTTACAACATACCTTTGTAAAGGGATATTGAAAAATTTTTAAAACTGTATTTGGAGATTACTTTGTCTGTAAAGAAATCCTATAAGAAGCAGTGAAACACAGATGCAGCACACCGTAGTTTGAATATATAAGGAAGGGGCACAAGTATGCACACACTCCCACCAAACAGTTTTTCATGTTATCAATACAATTATATCTACTTTACTATTTTGAAATTAACAAAGATTTTTGACTAACAAATTAATACAGATTTTGAGGACACAGAGAACTATCACTTCACCTTGAGAGAACCCCAAAAATTTCTAACTTTACTCAGGTTTACTATTAATTCTAATTAATTCACTATTAAGAAGACAAGACTATAGCTTTACCTGAGACCAAAGATAATCAGTTCACCTGTTAAAAGATCCAGGGAAGGTATACAAACCCTCTCCCTCATTTTGAAGACAGGCTTTGATGATAAAATTACACAGAATGTATTTTGTAAACACCAGTTCTCACTAAAAGAAGTCAAATCCAGGTTAGGGACTGATTTAAAAGGAAAAGTGAAATCCTAAGTGTTTAGCAGTTAAACAAAAGGCATCTTTGAACATACCCAGCAGTAAGCCATGTGCTGTATGTCCAGGAGACTGCCTTCTAGATCCTTCTGCTGAAGGCAACAGTCCTTCCTCCAGCGTAGGGAACTCCGTCAGGTCATTTCTATTGCAAGTCAGGCCAAGCTTTGTCTCCGAGGCAGCAGTTAAATGGCTGGCATCCACTTCTGCTGGAAGTTGATACCATGACTCGATTTCCTAAGAACAGGTGGGAAGAAAAGAAGTGCTCAAGCATCAAGAAAGTTTTAAGACATATATCCAAAGGAAATAAAGACTAAGTTGTGAAACAATGGAATTATTGCTTCTAAATTGCATTTCCTATACAAATACTCAGGTTTTAATGTAAAGGAATTATGATGCACTATGAACTGCTCAAGTCCACAGTCAGTTCTCACTACTGCCTAAGCTGTCATCTCTCTCTCTGATCACCAGCCTTCCATCACTTGTCTGAAACTGAGCTCCATCTCCAAATCCTGCCACTGCAGAAGACTTTTTCCAAACCAGAATGAAATATCTCACTTGGAAAGAAAAATCTTGATAATGACAAATGCTTCAGTAGGATGCTGGGCCAATACAGTTCCTGACACTGCGTAGTAAAGATAGTTTGCATTGTACAACTGGGGATTAAGAAGCAGAACAGTTTCTAATTTGTCTTTAACGAAAGTTTCTAGTTACAGAAATTCTGAGTTCACACAGACAATGCCTGACAACCCTAGCCAATTCTTTGGCATATTTTAAGAAAAAGACTTTCAGTTAATGTTCAAATGGAAAGAAGCATCTTTAGTTCACATAATTCATTGAAGAATTTGCATTGGGATTACTGGGGAAGTAATTAAAGAGACAAATTTTAATTACAGAAAAGGCACAGACCAGTCTTCAGTGCAGAGAATTAAGAATATCAATCATTTATAAGGCAAACCATTATCATCAGTATATATAACTTTCTTGCTTATATTAACATATACGTAATTGAAAGTGTCCCACTGAATTGGTAGAAGTACAGCACTATCCCTACTCAACAGCTGCAAGCTCCTCGTCCACATCAGAATTTTGCTATATGAACTATAATTTTTGCACAAGATTCTTATAATCATTTGGAAATAAAATTTTTTATCAACTCAGTCTTTTCAAAACACCTGTGATCTTACGCAGTTCTCAGAGTAATTAAATATTTGGCAGCATATCCATCAGATAGAACTACTATGACTGTATCACAATGTGAATACAGTTTTCCTTAATCACATATGGAACGCTTCATTAAAACTAAGGTCTAAAAGTAGTCAGATTTCACATGAACTGAAGCATGGCTCTGTACTAACATGTAAATCAGTTATTTTGAGGTAGACAGCTGTGTCATTTTAAGAGGCAGTAGCAGGACCACGATTATAGCAAATTACAACCTGAATACAGATCAAAGATACTGTTGCAAAGAAGAAAACATTACATTAGAAAATATACTAGGTTTATAACCAGAAAACAGAAAGGAGGGGAAGGGGGAGAAAAAAAAAAAATTAAAAATCATTTAACTACTGAGGATTCTGCTTTGAATGACAGATGTCAGAAAGCTTTGTAGCACTTGGATCAGGACTAAATGACTTGTCAGAGTTCACAACAGTCCTGTTTGTCTGCTGTTCCAAGACAGAGAAACGCAGACCTTTACAGGGCAAGGATGGTGGCGATCTAAATTACACAGATAGAGCACTTTGTATTATTTTCAATCACATAATTAACCTGCAACCACAAGCAAAACAAAGCATAGTACAAATACCCGATTAGTGGCAGTTTTCTGACGTATTGCTTCTCCTAGGGAGATCCCACTGGTAACTGATGCCTGGGTTTCGCTACTGCTGCGGCTTAATGATTCTTCGCTCCAGCCACGATGTGGTGGAGTTGTTGCAATAGGCTAAAAGAAACAATATGTGCTTTTAAAACAGAAAATAATTTCTTGGCATTTCAACATACGTATGTATTTATTTAAATAATGAACAATGAAATATATAAAACACTCAAGCCACCCCCAATGCCGAGAGTTGGGTGTCTACCTCAACATACTTAGACAGTGACCTAAATTCCATCCACAGCCCCAAAACTTAACTAAAAGGGGCAGGTTCATTTGCCACGTCAGATCCCAAAAAACAGTAAGCATGCTTGGCTAACGTGCAGAAAATCATTTCCAAGGGCCAGAAATTTATTTCTTATTTCCAACCCATGTAGATGCAGCTCTGAGGAAATCACAGAATACCAAAAAACTCATCACCTTGATCAAAGTCAGGTTCTGGCATTTGTCCTGTCTGGTTGGTTTTTTAATAGTTATTTATTTATTATTTTATTAAAAACAGAAGGTTTTTAATTATATCAATACCGTAAACTAAATTTTAAAGGGCATCTTATATAAATATATTAAAGCAACTCTAGGTCGATTTCTATATTATAATTTAGCAATACCTGACATATATAGAGGGGATGAATTGAAGTTAAATTGGACTTCTGCCTAGAAAAGCAGCTGTAACATTTTTTTTTCCCCACGAGATAACAGAGGAAGCTGTTCTGCAGTCAGAATGAAATTTCTTTTCCATAATATCCCACGCCTGAGGTCACAGCAACTGTAACAGCTTTCTCCAGACAAGACAGCCAGCCAGGTTCAAACACAATGGTATATAATTGTGAAAATAGACATTTCTGGAGCACCAAGGTTCAGCCCAAACAAAAATGTTCCAGGAAAATAGTTAAAAAAGACCTGGAGACTAGCACTGGACAATATCAGGTAATATTATTAATGCAGCAATTTAACATGAAGCCTCAACCAGAAGGACTTGTAGCTCCCCCACCTCTTTAACACCCCTCCCTGTCCTCATCTTCTTCCTCATATCAACTCTAGTTCCAGTTTAACTCACTAATAATTTTTCAAAAAGCCAAGCTACCCTCAGAGGTATTTTTTAGTGACCAAGCCAGGAAATGGCAGGATCTGAAGAACACTGCAGTGCGCCAAGCAGGGGCAGGAGGAAGCTCCCCACAACCTACTCCTGTACTGTGAATTGTGTATCTACTGTCTGGCAGTATCTGGCTGCCATGAGAACTACAATGGCCCATAATATGGGCAAGTGACATGTGAAGGGCAGAAGTAAAAGGTCACAGACTGAGAAAAGGAGAGGGTCAGTGAAAAAGAACCAAGTGATTTCCCAGAAGCCTACCTTCTACATGAATAATTATAATACTTTTGGATATGTGCCTTCAGTTATGAAGTCCTCCAGTGACAACTGGCTTTTTTTTCTTATTTCTTCTTTAAATAGATTTCCTGATAAATTGGTCTAATACTTATTTGGAAATTTCCATTCAGTAGCACAAATCTACCTTGATAGACTGAGCATACCATTTCCAACCTTTACCACAAAAAAAGCAAGCCATGAGAGTTTTCATGAAGACATTAATTACATTCTAAGAGATCAGACACAAGCTTAAAGTCCAGAACACAAACCTGTTTCAATGTAAAAGAAACATGTAAAATTCAGCATTTAAGATTGTTTTCTTTAAATGTAATATTATTACCTACTAGTTTAGCTAAAGTGGCACCTGAATTCTGTTTCATTCTTCTTATGCACTAAAAAGCTGGAAAGGATGTGAATAAAAGCTTAATTTTTTTTTTTAATTTATTACAAGACTGCTAGTCCATATTGGAACTTAAGAAAGGTGAGTTCACTCTTGACTATTTATGGCACCTCACTTGTATGTGATTCTTATACAAAACATAACATCTTCAACCCATCTACAAAAAATAAATTACAGCCATCACAAATGAATCTTTATCCATCTCATGTTCCTAAGAAGCCATTAATTCTGCCACAGAGACAGTGGATCTACAAGTTTCAGAGATAAGCTGAGGAAAGCCCCTTCAATTCTGACTCACCTGTTCAAGGGACACCTGAAATAATCACCCAGTGGCTGGGCTATCATCTACAGAGAGAGAGTTTGGGCCTTCCCTCTAATCCTGAATTATCAGGCATGCAACCTTCCAGTGAACAGCTTATTTTCGACCCTTACTAACTCCAAGAACATGCAAAGCTGAAGGTAGGCTGAACTTCTCTTGCCTTTAAACGTTTGGTCAGGGGACTGCCAAGACCACTGGCAAAGCACCACACAGACTCCCATTAGCTTCAGCCCCAATTCTGCCCATGAGCAACAGGTAACCCTTAAACTCTTCCTCCCTGGAAACTGCAGCCCACTTCACTTGTAAGATGGGATTCTAATTCAAGATTTTTCCTTTTACCCCTTAAACACCCAGTTTTTCCTTTAAAATAAGCCACTTGCTCAAATGTCCGACTGCAAACTAAAGAACATCATTGGGGCAACACCTCTACACTTTTCAGGCAGTTACAAAAACCTCAACTCTGGATAGTAATCTCAAAAATTTTAGCTTCTGGAAGGACAACAATTTCCAGAATTTCAGTACCATATGCCATCTTAAAACCTTCTACAAAACAGCATCACTGAAATAAAGACATGATGTAGCTTTCTATACAGGTCAGCACTGTCAAGTAAATTACTTGGAATGGCAAGAATATTTTTGTCCAAGTTTAAAAAAGCTATAGCACTCAAAAGGAAGATGTTTATTACTGATCACGTGCAAATCACACCTATAAAACTAGGACTCAACCAGGCAGAAACTACTCTTCCAAATTAATTCCCTGCACAAAATAAGTTTGTTTGGGCTTTGTATTGGGACTAAAGGTAATAATTGTAGCCTGTATGCATATATTCAATCCCTATTCCATTTCCCTAGTTCCTATTGTTCATTCTAATTAAGTCATTAAAAGAAGCAGCACTGAAGTGGACTTGACAATAACTCTGAATGCAAAGCATTCAAATAGCTATTTGGTAATTTAATTAAGGCCTATTATTGAAAATTTGGGTTTACAACATGCATCTTCAGAAAAGAGCAATTTTATTAATCCAACTGGAAATCAAAAGCGTTGGGTAAGGGACCCATACTGTGATTAGAAAACAAATTCAAAAAAAAAAAGTACTGATTTTATTTAGATAGGCTGAGCATAGCTAATTTAAGTGGGTGTTCTAAAAGATATTAGAACAAATGAGTAATGACAGCATTCAAGATCACACAATGAACGAAAGACTAAACAACCAAACTGTGCATGTTAGTCTTCATTCTCCCCTTTAAAATTACCTCCTTCAGCCTATGGTGTGCAATTCCTCTCAAAATCATTTAATTACTTGTATACCTGTCAGCCACTTAAATTATAATCCTTTTTCCATGCTGCAGCAGTTGCATCGCAGACTTCCTTCTCTCTACCCACCAGCATGCCAGAGAAACCACTTCACATGAAGAGAATTCTTCAGTTTCCAAAGACTACTGATTAACTTGCTTTCAGGGAAAAAAAAAAAAATTGACTGGCAACCTAAAGAAAATATCACCAAGATAATAATTCCATTAAACCTTATAGCCAAACTTTGAATTTGAGCCTTTTCCCCATACAGTTTCAATGTACCTGAGTGACATATTGTCACAACACTGCAAGAAAAACAACATGAAAAACATCATCTGAACAGGTTTCTTCTACCTGTAGCTTCATTTCTTAATCTTTTACCAAAATATTTTATTACAGAATGGGGGGGAAGCACAATTCACTATCAACTAAAGTCAGCAAGAATCTTCCTCGGAGAGAGAATTTAATATGAACAAGTCTTGGGCAAATGGGGATAAAATGAGAGTATAGAAGGATAAAGTACAACTGAGCTTCCACTTTGTGGAAATTTCTCTCTCAGAAATACTTCCTCCTTCCAAATACTCCCTTAGCACTTACAGTTTTCAAAACCCATTCACTTCACATTAGAATTTGGAATAGGTTCAACCAGTCTTATTTTGGGAAAACAGAGCCAAACATGTATCATATGCAGATTTCTCAAGAAGAAATGCTAATGAGTTATGATGCGATTACTACAAATAGCAATATTCTAGAAGATTCAGAGTACAATTATATCCAGAGCTACCAAAGGCTCAAATACTCAGTCACCCAGAAGAGCAGGAAGGAATCAAATTAGTATTACTATCGCTAAGAGCACTTACATAGCGCCTTGCATGTAAAGGCCCAAAAACATTTCATAAACAGTGATTCACAGCACTGCTTTAGAATGTGCATGATAAATATTTATCCTCCTTTTACTAGGCACAGAGAACCTAGTGTACAACAATATGGCAAATCAGCAGCAGAGCTGATTCCCTGAGTAGTCTGATCTGACCATAATGCACATCTCTTACTTGAGGCTCTAAAATTTCATCTGTCTTTGCCTGTAGGTTATGAGAGAAAGTCAAAAAGAAGAACACCTACAGCATCACAAGCCAAGGATATAAGAGCATGAATAAGAACGTGAAATGAGATATTAAAGAAATATTTGTATCACAATTAGGTAACACGATACCCTTTACATGAAATATTAAAATAGGTAAGTAGCTGCTGTCATGGTCACAGTGATGCTATAGCATCATGAACATGAAAAGTGGCCTGCACAGTGGCATACTGTAGAAGAAGGCGGCAAAACTGTAGAGAAAACATATTTAGAGTCAATTCCTGTTAAAACATAATTCAAATGATTTTGCAGTGTGCACCTTTCCAATCTAAACAAGAAGCACACTTCTTTTGTGTTTAAACAAGCAGAAAAAAAATATGGCAGAAAAGCAAGAAACACTCATTGTTAGTCTCCCAACTCCATCCAGGTTTACCAGTTCTGATTTCCAGCTGCTGTTTGTAAACGTTTCTTATCAAAATGCCCATAAACTACTGATCTGTCTGCAATGCTGTTGGGGGGTGGGAGGGCAAGGGGATTTGAATTGGGGCAGGTGGAAGGGAGATGAAGCAGGACCCCCCCCAAGAAAGGAATAAACTTATAATT